TTTTTTTTGTGAAATTTGTTCATGTTATCGACCTTCATCGCCATCGGGTTCTGCTTGCTCTTCACGTGGTCTCTGCTTAAATTTCATCTCTCCCATATGCATAATCGATGCGCAACCCTTGTACAGATCCATTACTTCTTCATCTTCGAAGCCCATAATGTCGAATGCTTCCTGAAGCAGCAATTCTCATTTTCCTTATGGAAGGCTTATCTTTGACCTTGCCCATGTAGCCCATTTACTATTGTCTTATTGACTCTTACCTGGGTGATTCCCATCTCTTCCTTGTCGTCAACACCTTCAATGGTCAATTCAGCTTGGGAGCAGAAGTGGTAATATCTCAATTCATGGTTGAGTTTCAACGAATCTAAATATTTTACGTGGATATCACATTCTGTCCACATACTCCTCGTGTAAAACCCACCGCGAAGCTTGGGATCATGTCCAGACATAATCTGATAGAAGATGTGGTAACTGCGTTCTCCAGGAGCCTGTCGCACGACACGAGATTTCTCCAGCAAATCTGGAATATGCCTATCATGAGCAAATGTGCGTTGATAGCAATAGCTAAAGAGTACAATGTTCAATATCTCCTCCTGCGAGTTTTCCTTGTGCAGAGAAATGCGTTCGAATGAATTTTCCGAATCGAGATGAGTTGTTGTTACGGACGGTTTTAGCATTACCTGAATTACAAAATAAACTATTTTGAAAGTTCCGCTCGAATAAAAACTTCTTTTTGTTACAAACATACTTACCGAAAGCCTCCAGTACGGGGTTGGTTTGCACGATTTGTTCCTCTAGAGTACCCTGAAAAGTGAAGTTGTTTTGTGTCCTTCCAAAAAACGATATGGAGGACTTACTCCTTTAGTGCCCTCTTGCTTAGCTGCCTGGGTGGCACCAACAATGGCGAAATAGGAAATAACTTTCTTTGTGTTCTCCGTCTTTCCGGCTCCGGATTCTCCAGTGATCAGCATGGACTGGTTCTCACGGTCTAGATTAAATCAGTTATTTTGCAACTGAAGTTCTAAAGATACTACTATCCGTCTACCTTGAACCATATTTCTGTAGGCCTCGTCAGAAGTGGCAAAAAGATGAGGTGGCATTTCATTTCTTCTCTTTCCCATATAGAACTTGATCACAGACTCGGTATAGATGGGCAAGCGCTTGTATGGGTTAATGACGACGCAGAACAGACCAGAATATGTCTAAGAAGAATTCAACTTCGTATCTGTATTATTCATGATGTAGGATTGCACTTACATAAATCATCATATCCTTGTATCTGTCCTTCAAATTTGCCAAAACAGAAGCTTCGTTCAAGAAAGTTAGGTTAGCCATGTCTTCGGTTTTGTCGAATTTTGGGGGGTTCATCTCTTGCGCTTGATCCTTTTTCACGGTCACCTTGGATGATAGAGATCATGTTACGCTTCACGATAATGTGTGAAAACTTGGAAACATCCCACTTAGTAGAAACTCAGATACATAGTCAGGAGCGAAAAAAAATCAACTCTTGTCTTTACTTGCACTTGAGCTATGAATGAGTTTTGATCATAAACAACAAAAAGGCCATTTGGTATCATCTCCTTATCTGTATTTTTCCTCTTTTTTTGCGTTAGCAGAAAGTAAATGTGAGCATGTTAAATTTTTTCTTCCTCTTCAATTCGAGGTAAAAAACTTCAGTCTAATTTTGAATACATCAGTTAGGAGTATCCACTAGTTCGCTATTCAAGGTACAGTCTACAAATAGAACCTTAATCCAAGAAATGACAATCTTTGAACATATAGATTCCATACTGCGCATCTAACTAATAGTGGTACTCTCGCTACCGCCCGTCTCATTTGTCGTACTA